GGCACCCGTGTTCCGATGATCTCGATACTTCACCCTTTCTCCGAGGTTGAACATTCTAGTTTTGCCCAGCCGTTGCGTTGCGGATTGCTCCTTTGTGTGTGCCTGCGATGCTTTCAGATTTCGTTGGGCTCTTCTTCTTTCGGCAACCAATTCTTTGGTGGAATCACTGTACTCTGGCCATATTCCAATGTCCTGATCAGCGAACGTTGCCATTAGGACGTGAATCGAGAATAGCGATGTTGCATACATTTCTGTTGCATTTAAATTTGGACTAAAACTGGGCATTGGAATTATTGAGTACATTTTCCCCTGCTTCTTTGTTTTCATGGCCTTTTGACGGTTAATTTGTTCTGTACCTTTTCTTTTGTTATGCAACGGTGTGTTATTACAGATCACCAGTTTGATTTTCATTTAACAATTATTTACTTAGAATGAAAGGAAAATTTCCTGATGTGTCAGTCAGACTCACCGAAGGAATGTTTTGGTTCATCTAAGTTTGACCAGAAAGACAACCGTATCTCTGAAACACACTGGTCTCCGTGTTAAGCTAATCCCGCTATCAGTATCGTAGTTATTTCGAGAACAAATACCTTTACTCAACAACCAATGCTACAAAAAATGTTTATGATTGTGGACAAGCTTAAGTTCTCAAGACGCAGTCTTATATTCCTATTAAATGAATAACTCGGAACTGCTGGATCTATGATTAAGAATCTCTAATTGAAAGTGCTAAAGTGTGTTGCTTACTGTGCTACTCATTTTCATCATTCTTGCCTGACCCACCAACAGGGGTATGAGAGATGACAAGAAGACGAATTGAAACTAACCATTAGGAAACTGAGTGATATATATATATATATATATATATATATATATATATATAAACGATGGCTAAATACAAGTAACGAGAATTAACACAGTGCGTACGTCCGTGAACATGTGTTTATACTCCTGCAGAAGCCATAATGATGGGACCGACCGAATTGGTCTTTTCTGAGGGTGGTCTATCCTAGGAATGGACAACCAAACCACACATTAGCAGTATAGAAGAAGTTGATCGAGTATATTGTGGTATTCGGTTAAGTTTGTTTTACCCGTTTGTACAGCGCACCTGTGTCATTGAATTTTATGCAAGTGATTTTGCGTTTCATCTCCAACATGGTTCGTATCACTTTTAACGGCAAAAACATCACTGTTTCTATGCCTACCACATTACCTCCAACAAAGTAACAATCTGGTTCACAGGAGCTAAATGAACGCTTTTCGCACGTAACTTGAGGAGCCATCTGTGGAATGCAAACTGCCTGTGATTGAATAGCCATCTCTCAACTGCACCACTTTTGTTTCAGAATGTTTCAATTTCGTTCCTCTTGTTCAATATGTTTGACACTACATTTTACGGTTAGTAAAAGAGATGGAATAGCCCGCCACGCTCCTGAGACAAATTGAGACAAACTGATTATGTTGTAGACATGTCTGTTTCAGCACTTTGCCCCATATTAACTTCATTATATGTCGTCTTCAGCATGCTGTATGTTAGTAATGGTTGGTAGGGCAATTGAATAACCTAGATAATTCGCTCACAAGGTGGCAGTGACTTACCAGTTTGCGCGCGGCGGCTGTAATCGGACTTGTGAGTGGTTGATTTCGCGACGGTTGACGGGCAATGAGTAAACAAAAATTAGGTCGGAATATCACGTTATGGGCAATTTATAAGGTTGGAGGACAAGAGATTTGCACAATCCACCAATGATACGTGGTGTGATGTGTAACAGAGGTAACAACTGTTCACGTGAATCCGATAAGATTATGGCAGCAGCGACATGGGACAAACCTGACTGCAGTATGATCAAGACATTCACTCCACTTAAGTTGAATTCCGGGTTTCTAGGGCCAAATTTGCGGGGACAAAATCCATGGTATTTCTGGGGGACTTTACCTAGATTAGGGTCTTAACTATTGTCCCTGGTCGAATCTGGGATACTACATGTAGGATTCTAAGTTCCCACAGATATTCCCTGGGATCGGATAAACTTGGCCTATGTAGAGGAGCGGTCAATCTTTCCAAAGGGAAGTTATGGTAGATATGTAAAGGCTGTCCATAATTATAAAGACACTAGATGTTAAAAACAGCCTCGACAATTTTACGTTTACATTAATCCGGTCTTCTACGAAAGACAAGTTTTAGTGTTCACAAATTTTCACCCTACAATAGTTTTATATACTTTCGAGTAATAAGAAAGATGAGTAAGCAGATGTTAGACAAGAATGAGGTGGCACACACCGCTTGAAGTATTTATGATTTCTATTTCGTTCCTGTGTTTCAACATCAAAATTTACTCATGTTATTAGTCAAATCTTCAAATTTGTTTCACTCAGCGTGCCCCGCGGTTACTAAATCGTCCTTTTCCCTTGATCCTTCGACCCGTAATTTCGATTGCTGCTATGATCACATGCGGATTCAGCTTCGGTTGTCCGCTGCAGTGTGATCAGGTTACAACGTAATGATTCGTCCAGACCGAGTTTCCAGCGTCTACTGTCCGGCAAAGTGAACGGAGAAATCTGTGATCCAACGTAACTCAGCATAAGAAAAGGCAGTCAGTCAGTCAGTCAGTCAGTCAGTCAGTCAGTCAGACAG